CTCCCAAAGTGCTGGGATTACAGGCTTGAGCCACCGCGCCCGGCCTTATTATATATTCTTTTATTAGAGACAGGGTTACACCATGTTGCCCAGGCTGGTCTCAAACTCCTGGACTCAAGCAATCTGCCTGCCTCAGCCTCCCAAAGTGCTGGGATTACAGGCTTGAGCCACCGCGCCCGGCCTTATTATATATTCTTTTATTAGAGACAGGGTTACACCATGTTGCCCAGGCTGGTCTCAAACTCTTGGACTCAAGCAATCTGCCTGCCTCAGCCTCCCGAAGTGCTGGGATTACAGGTGTGAACCACCACGCCTGGTTTATTATTATTATTATTATTATTATTTTGAGACAAAATCTTGCTCTGTCGCCCAGGCTGGAGTGCGGTGACACAAACATAGCTCACTTCAGCCACAACCTCCTGGGCTCAAGCAATCCTCCTGCCTCAGCCTCCTGGGTAGCAAGGACCACAGGCATGTGCCACCATGCCTGGCTAATTTTTTTTTTTTTTGTAGAAATGGTGTCTCACTTTGTTGCCCAGGCTGAGCTTGAACTCCTGGGCTCAAGTGATCCTCTTGCCTTGGCCTCACAAAGTCTTGGGATTACAGGAATGAGCCACTGTGCCTGACCTTCCTGGTTGGTTTAATTACTTGTTTTTTGAGACATGACATGACTCTTGTCCTATAAGTCAAAACTATGTGAAACAGTATACTCAGAGAAGGATCACTCTCTCCTCATTCCTACTGACAAGTTTCTACCCTCTTTCCACATCCCCTGTAATTAACCAGTCCCTTTGGATATATTGCTATTGTTTCTGTATTTATTGTGCACAAGTGACCAGATACATATATATTTCCTTATATTCTCCTCTTTCTTACATAGGGTAGCATACTTGAAGGTAGATACTTTTTGCACCTAACTTTCTTCACTTAACAGTACATCCGGGAAATCATTGCAAATCAGTTCTTAGAGGCTGTCTTCATTCTTTTTTATAGCTACATAGTACTCCATGGTGTGGATGTCCCATAATTTGTTCAACCACTCTCCTATGTACGAGCATTTAGGTTGTTTTCAGTATTTTGCAATTACAAGTTGTGCTGCAATTAATGCTAGACGTACGCTTATTCCCAGAAGTGAGATTGCTGGCTCAAATGGTGAGTAAATAGCAAGTTTTATTAGGTATTGCCAGATTCTTCAGAAGGGTTGTGTGGGGTGTGTTCCCCCAGCAATACAGGAGAACAACTGTTTCCTCATAGCTTCACCAACAAAATGTGTTGTCATATTTTTATGTTTTTTAATTTTTTGCCAGTCTGATAGATGAGAAGTGATATCTCAGTCTTGTTTCTTTTTTTTTTAAGTTGAACTATTTATTCCCTTTTAAGTACACATCTGAGAGCGTACAATGTATTTAATCTCTACCTTCATTTTACCACTGAAGAGCAGACCCAACCTTTGTTCATATAGACAATTTGATCTTACATAAGCTTATCAAAATTAACACTGCATTTCTCACCAGGAAACAATTTGCTGGGCACATATTCACGGGTAGGTAGGCAGACAAAGACAAGTTTCAAGAGCAGCCCCTAAGGCGAACCCCAGCATATCTATACCATAGTAAGATAACACTATCAATCTATGTAAGCTTACTTACAACAATGCCTATGTGAAAAGAATGTAGTTATCTGTGCTTGGTGGAGTTGTGTGCTCTCCGAAAGTTAAGCAGGCGGGAAGCCAAAAATATAAACTGGGACCGACAACACAAGAAAGATTCTTTCACTGAGGGGGTTCAGTAGCCCTGAAAAGATACTTTGGAGTCAAGCAGCCGGGACTCCCTTGGAGCCGGTGTACTTGGTGACCGCCTTGGTGCCCTCGGACAAGGCGTGCTTGGGCCAGCTCGCCGGGCAGCAGCAGGCGCAGGGCCGTCTGGATCTCGCGGGACGTGACGGTGGAGCGCTTGTTGTAGTGCGCCAGGCGGGACGCCTCTCTCGCGATGCGCTCGAAGATGTGGTTGGCGAAGGAGTTCATGAGGCCCATGGCCTTGGAGGAGATGCCGGTGTCGGTGTCGGGGCGGACCTGCTTCAGCACCTTGTACCTGTAGATGGAGTAGCTCTCCTTGCGGCTGCGCTTGCGCTTCTTGCCGTCTTTCTTCTGGGCTTTGCTGACGGCTTTCTTTGAGCCCTTCTTGGGAGCCGGCGCGGACTTTGCAGGTTCAGGCATGGCCAGACCCAAGACCGACACTTTCCCCCGAGAACGCAAGCAGAACTGTAGTCTCGGGGTCCACCGGAAACGACTGTGCACTTACAGAGGCCGTGCGCATGACGCTGCGTTGTGGTTCGCGAGTTTTTTCCCTCCGTCTTGTTTTAACTTACGGATTTCTAATTACAAGTAAGTTTAACATTTTCTCATATGTTTGAGGGCCATTCTTTTTTTTTTTTTGAGATGGAGTCTCGCTCTGTCGCCCAGGCTGGAGTACAGTGGTGCCACCTTGGCTCACTGCAGCCTCTGCCTTCTGGGTTCAAGCAGTTCTCTGCCTCAGCCTCCCAAGTAGCTGGGATTACAGGCGCCTTCCACCACACGTGGCTAATTTTTGTGTTTTTAGCAGGGACGGGGGTCTCACCATCTTGGCCAGGCTGGTCTCGAACTCCTGACCTCGTGATCTGCCCTCGTTGTCCTCCCAAAGTGCTGGGATTACAGGCATGGGCCACTGCGCCCAGCTGAGGGCCATTCTTTATATCTTTTTTCTTGAATTGTGTATTCAATTCTTTTTCCCATTTTTCTGCTGTGTTTTGGTTCTGTGTCCCTCAATTTTCAAAGGTTCTTTTTATATTACGGGCATTCATCCTTTACTTGTAATATATATTGGAATATTTTCTTCTAGTATGTCAGCTGGGTTTTTTTTGTTTGTTTTGGGACGGGGTCTTGCTATCTTCTCCAGGCTGAACTTGAACTCCTGGGCTGAAGTGATCCTTCCACCTCGGCCTCCTGAGTAGCTGGAACTACAGGCATGTACCACCATGCTTGACTTGTCTATTATTTTTTACTTTATCTTGTGCCCATCTTTTATGATCCAGCTCAATTACTGGACTTAGGTGAACACCTTAAACATCCTGGCTTAAAAGTCTCTTCTCCCTTCTTTGAAGTTCCAGGGCACTTAAAATTTACATTTCAAAGTAGTTGGTATCTTTTTATGGGACACATTGTATTTCTCCTGTGTTTTACTTATTTATAGTCCTAGGAGACTCAAAATCTTTAAGGACAAGATTGATGTCTTTTCTTTCTAGTCTCATAGTACTCAGCAGATGGTCTTAAACTTATTAGATACTTACTAAGTGAACAAATAAGACCAGAAATACGGTTTTTGACCAGTAGCAGAAGAGCTACCCTGCTCTTCACCTGAAGAAATACATGTGTGCTTGTGTGTGTGCGTGTGTGTGTGCGCGCATGCTGTGTTCAGCCATGTAAAGGAGGTAGGAGGTGGGGGACTCCACAGCAGAAGCTGCTCCAACCCCTTCTCTCAATATATCTCAATTGTTTGTTTGTTTATTTATTTATTTATTTATTTTTTGAGACAGAGTGTCACTCCATCGCCCAGGCTGGAGTGCAATGGCAGGATCTTGGCTCATTGAAACCTCTACCTCCCAGGTTCAAGTGATTCTCCTGCGTCAGCCTCCTGAGTAGCTGGGATTACAGGCGCCCGCCATCACACCCAGCTAATTTTTTGTATTTTCAGTAGAGACAGGGGTTCACCATGTTGGCCAGGCTGGTCTCGAACTCCTGACCTCAAGCGATCCATCCGCTTCAACCTCCCAAAGTGCTAGAATTACAGGCGTGAGCCATGGCGCCCGGCCTAATATATCTCAATTATTTAAAGCAGGCGAGAAGTGTGATGGTGGCAGTGTGCCTATGGGGACATCTGCCCAGAAAATTTGGTTTTTAAATTTCCTTTAACACCGATACCAATTTACCATTGTTTTATACATTTTAATTTATATACCAACAATCACAAAAATGTTTACCTATATATTATGGATTTTATAACTACGGTCTGAACATTAGAGTGCTAGGGGTGATACAACAGACTACCACAGACTGGGCAACTTAAACCAACAGAAATATATTGTCTCACAATTCTGGAGGCTAGAAGTCCAAAATTAAAATGTCAGTAGGGTTGGTTCCTTCTAAGGGCAGTTAGCAAGAATCTGTTCCAGACCTCTCTCCTTGGCTTGAAGATGGCTGTCTTACTGTTCACATGGTGTTCTTACTGTCTGTGTATCTGCCTTCAAATCTCCTCTTCTTTTTTTTTTTTTTTTTTTTTTTTGAGACAGAGTCTCACTCTGTTGCTCAGTCTGGAGTGCAGTGGCGTGATCTCAGCTCGCTGCAACCTCCGCCTCCCATGTTCAAGCCATTCTCCTGCCTCAGCCTCCCACGGAGCTGGGATTACAGGCATCCACCACCACTTCCAGCTAATTTTTTGTATTTTTAGTAGACATGGGGTTTCACAATGGTGGCCAGGCTGGTCTCGAATTCCTGACTTCAAGTGATCTGCCTGCCTCAGCGTCCCAAAGTGCTAGGATTGCAGGTGTGAGCCACCACGCCCTGCCTCCTTTTCTTTTAAGGACACCAGTCATACTGGATTTAGGCTCGCCGTAATGACCCATTATAACTTGATTACCACTGTGAAGGACTATCTCCAAATAAAGTTGCATTCTGAGATACTGAGAGTTGGGATTTCAACATATGAATTTGCAGAGGTAGGGGGACACCCACCATGTCAGTCTGTACAACATTTTAGAAATGCAGCCCAAAGTTATTTATCTTTTCTTCAGAGAATTGTAATTTATAGGACCTTCTGTCGGCAACGTGTTCTCAGTGGGTTCCAACTTGTGTGGGTGTTGTGTGCAGTGTGTCAGCATGAATGTATTTGATAAAGTTTTGATGTGAAGAAGGGGAGGCCTTAGACCTGCAATTTTCCTGAATTCACTTTTTTCTGTCTACAATGTAGGTGTCAGAATCCCCAGAAGACCTCGGGTGTGCATTGAGACCCCAGAGCGCAGGGACAGTGTACGAAGCCGCCACGGTGGAAGTGGATGTATCTGCTTCCATCACATTGCAAGTGCTGGTCGACACCCCAGGGAACATTTCCTGTCTCTGGGTCTTTAAGCACAGCTCCCTGAATTGTCAGCCACATTTTGATGTACAAAATAGGTAAGTGGAGGAATACGTTCTTGACATAAAATGTGGTTCATTTGGAATTTTGTTTCAAGTTTCTGTTCATGATTATTGTAAATCTTTTTTGTTTTTTGTTTTTTGTTTTTTTTTTTTGAGTCGGGGTCTCTCTCTGTCACCCAGGCTGGAGTACAGTGGCACAATCTTGGCTCACTGTAGCCTCGACCTTCCAAGCTCAAGTAATCCCCCCATCCCAGTCCTCCCAAGTAGCTGGGACTACAGGTGCGTGCCACCACACCCAGCTAATTTTTAAAATTTTCTTCTAGACACCATGGTGTTTCACCATGTTGCCAAGGCTGGTCTTGAGCTCCTGGGCTTAAGCAATCCACCCACCTCAGCATTCGAAAGTACCAGGATTACACATGTGAGCCACTGTGCCTGGCCTCAGCCTGTTTTTTGTAACTCTTATCTTCAGTGAAATAACGAGCTAAAAATATAGTTAGGGCATCGATACATAACGTTATATATCTGTCAAATTTCCTAGGATGTATAACACAAAAAATGAACCCTAATGCAAACTATGAACTTTATTTTATTTGAGTTTTGAGACGGAATCTCGCTCTCTCACCCAGGCTGGAGTGCAGTGGCCTGATCTTGGCTCACTGAAACTTCCGTTTTTCCCAGGTTCAAGTAATTATCCTGTCTTAACCTCCTGAATAGCGGGGATCACAGGCGCATGCCACTACACCCAGCTAATTTTTGTATTTTTAGTAGAGATGGGGTTTCACCATGTTGGCCGGGCTGGCCTCAAACTCCGGACTTTACATGATCCTCCCACCTCAACCTCCCAAAGTACTGGGATTACAGGCATGAGCCACCATGCCCGGCCCAAACTATGAACTTTAAAATTGGTTCATCAATTGTAACAAACATATCACACCTATGCAAGATGTTAATAATAAGGGAAACTGTGTGTGGAGAGAAGTGCATATATGGCATCTTTCTGTGTCTTCTGCTTAATTTTCCTGTAAGTCTAAAACTGCTCTAAAAAGTAAAGTTGGTTGGGTGCAGTGGCTCACGCCTGTAATCCCAGCACTTTGGGAGGCTGAGGTGGATCACCTGAGGTCAGGAGTTCGAGACCAGCCTGGACAACATGGTGAAACCCTATCTCTACTAAAAATAAAAAAATTAGCCAGGCGTAGTGGTGTGCACCTGTAATCACAGCTACTTGGGAGGCTGAGGCAGGAGAATCGCTTGAAGCCCAGAGGGGTAGGTTCGGTGAGCTGATATCGCGCCACTGCACTCTAACCTGAGAGACAAGAGTGAGACTCTGTCTCAAAAAAAAAAAAAAAAGAAAAAGAAAAAGGTTAAGTCTATTAAGTTAAACCTATACACACACACA